AATTGTTCAGAAAATCCCTAATTCAACCAAAATACTTAATTCTTTAGACAAACCCTAGTTTCCACAAAATAACCCTAATTTGTATGAAAAGCCCTAATTTCCCCCAAAAAAACCCTAATTTGTATGAAAAGCCGTAATTTCTCAAAAATACCCTAATTTGTATGAAAAGCCCTAATTTCCCCCAAAAGAACCTTAATTTCACAAAAAAAAAACACTTAAATTCCAATAATAAATCGAATTTCTACACAAACCCTAAATGTAAGACCACACTCGAAAACAGAACATGGACCACAATCTCGAAATAAAAAATGCACAAACCACATGACAAAGAAAATAAAAAACACATAATATTCCAAATTTGTCGCACTACTTCGGGTACAAAACACAGACAATAAGAAATAAAGAATATAAGAAATTCGTCGCACCTGTCTGTCATTTTCCCGACATATAAGAAATGTCGAACGCACCCTCAGAAGGAATCTCGGACGCAGAAACACACACTCTAATGCAATTGGGATCAATTCGTTGCGTATTCTTGATACAGAGAGAAGATTTCAGAGTAGGGTTTGATTTTTGTTGTCGACAACGATTTTATCTTCTTTGAAAAGTTAGGGTTTTCAGAAAAACGATTTGGGGAATTTGTGAAATTGGGGAGGGGAATCGTTTTTATACCATTTTTTCAGAAATTCCACGTATTTCACTTAATCTTACTAGGCAAAGTCAAAATTACACGTAGATAAAACCAGCCGGACACGCTGGCACATTTTCGCCGTCCGACGGGTTTTAAGTCAATTTTGCAAAAGTAATACAAGTCTGGTATTATTTTGCATTTATCTAGAAGTTTGGATTAAATTGCCAAAAGTGAAAAGGTCAAGGTTTAAATGGCAATTAACCCATCTTTTAACTAACATTAGTGTAATCACCGGTTTATAGTAGTGTTAATTATATGCCATATTGAAGATTGAAGTAGGTTCCCGAGGTCAAAACCAGAAGGACAAGAGAATCTCCATTGGACGAGGGATAGTGCTGTAAACGAACCTAACCGAACTGAGCTTTGGCTGTTCGAGCTTGTGTTCGTTTACGTTCGAACACTGTTCGTGTTCGTTCGTTTATTTTTCGAGCAAAAAATTGTATTCGAGCTCGTTTGTTTAATTGTTTGTCAAAGTTCGAGTTCGTTCGTGTTCGAATAATTTAATACATAAACTTTTTAAATATGTTTGATTAACTTAAAATTTGTTCGTTCGAACTCGTTCGAAATTGAAAATAAATTAATAAAATACAAATATTTTTATAATTTAATTTTTTATTAAAAATACTATGTAAATATATAAAAAAATAAAAGGAATTATAATAAATTTTATATTTTTGTTAGAAATATTATGTAAATATATAAAAAATAAAATAAAATTATATTAAATTAATGTTCGCAAACATAATCGAACGTTCAAGAACGAGCTCGTATTCGTCCAATTATTAAACGAGCCTAATTTACTGTTCGAACTCGGCTCGATTAACAAACGAACGAGCTTTTATCGAACAAGAACGAGCTCGAACGAACTTTTGTTCGCGAACGTTCAATTCGTTTACAGCTCTAAGGGATATGCAATGGATGTCATGTACCGGTAGTTTTAACGATTATGGAAGCCATGGCTCGCGCAAGCATGCTGCACGCATCGATCAGAATGCTTAACTGTGTACTTCCAGAAAATTGATTGTGTACGTTTTCTATTTTGCATGAATGGAAAATTTACCAAATTCTCAAAATAAATAAGAGAAGAAAAAAATTACAAGTTAGAATGCATATTAAGAACAAGAAGTCAACCATTTCCAGTCAATCTTTTTCTTTTATTTTTTTCTTTTTTTTTTTTCCCCGATAATCATCATTCTGAACAAATAATATTGGCAGAATTCATTCTACAAAGCTACAAAAGTGAGCAATGATATACTAGCAACTATGTTTTATCTCATCCATTCTCTCTTCCATCACATCAAAATAAGAATTTCCCATTTGAGGATCGTATTTTTTTCACTAATACATTCTCGTTTATGAAATACGATTCTACTCGTCTTTTGCCCGAGTTTTTACCCATCGCCCAATCCAAAAAGAATTTTTCCTCAGTTTGAATTTCGATTAAGATCCCATGGCATGAAAACTCCGCAACTTGTCGAGGCAGTTTTGCATTTTACAATTCTGCTTTCGACTCCTCATCTTCTGCTATGTCATCAGTGTTGACCTCAGCTGTTGCTTGCTCTTGTGGCTCGATATCTTCACCTAAAATCTTGGCTGTGAAGCGTCTAGCTTCAAGGTCAAGATCCGGCCATTCTGTCACTATTCTTTTAGCTCCCTACAGTGAAAATAAAATTTGGAAAGTAGGTAAGAAGACAACATGAAAAAGAGTGATGAGAGAATAAAAACAATAGGGATAACTACACTAAACCACCCTAACTGGGGTATTAACGTTAAGATCCAGAGAAGATTCAAAATTACAATTTTCAAAACCCCTCTTCACGTTTCTAATACAAATATTATTGATAAAACCTTTAATAATCCAAGCCGACATTGTCAAACATCTACGGGGTTTTTTGTTATTATCCCAAACCTCTCATAAGTATATATTCTAGATTTGAGTTCGTTTTACCTGAAGCTTGGGCTCTTTTGTCATGGGATTGTTGCAAAGGTCAATGGTTTTTGCCTTGGATTTGGTGGCATTACCACACCAAGACTCGCACCATAGCCACTCTTGTGGAAGAGAAAATATGGGCACCATGTGTTGAGCATAGTTTGGAAGATCCTGTACCAAAAGCATCATATGTTTAAAATGTACACACTTGAAAAAAATTAAAAAGATATATAAAAATACAAATCAAATACGACTAAAAGAAACTAAAATTAGGGGTGTTAATTAATATATTCGTTTCACTTGCCTGATCAAGATTAGAAAGACTATTTGGATCTTTGCTCAGAGTTTCATAAACTACTCTCAATTGGTCTCCAGCTGCTGTTTCTCGAAATTTGACTAGATCGACCACATATAAAGCACTACAAAGAACATAAGATAATGCCAGGTGATTTTCTCAGTGATGTTAGAATATTAAAATCTGCAAATAGAAAAGGTTCGTATACCTAATATGATATGGTTTTCCTCGCAAATGATCCTTCCAGAATCCCTGTTCAACAACGAAAAAATAGCAACCAGCTTTATATGAAAATATTTTTCTACAGGAAAATTTGAAGGACTTGGAAAAAGTTGGATAGAAGGGAATCTACTTGGTTCCAAAATCGATAGCCATCCATATCTTTGTTATTGTCACAGAATGGAGTATATGCAAGAGGCCGTCCTCCTAAATTCATGTCATATAGTTCTCCCATGTTTGCACGCACAATTTGGTCTGCATCAACGAATATAACCTGCAAATATTAACAGTACTAAACACAATTACCATATAGAAACACCTCAATTAAACCAAATATTCAAGGATAATGAAATAATTGGGTATTTAACAGAGGAAGA